GACCTAGGGTGAATTTTAAATAGGGATAATTTTTAATGATTTTAATAATGTCACAGACTATAAATATTTGGTTTTAATTGGCTTTTATAGGGGAAATGTTGTGTTGTGTTGTTTGTGTTGTGTTATTTTAATATGCTGTGAGCCGCCCTGAGTCCCGTGGGGAGAAGGGCGGCATATAAATTATGAAAAAAAATAAAAAAAATAAAAAAATAGTTGTGATCAGGACAGTAGTTGTGTTCCCTTTTTAACAAGTAATCTATTCTGAAAGGACTTTGCACCCCCCATTACTGATTTTTACATCCTTCCCCTGAGGACTATCAGCAACATACATAATAGCTTATGAAAAAGCTGTCAAAGTAGAAATGCAGGAAGCACAGTTAAAGATTCTGGTTGTAGAATAGTTAATTGATCTTAGCTGGTCAAGTAATCAGCACTACAGGAATGCCCCAAAGGTGCTTTTTTTCAAGAGGCAACTGGGTTTTCTTTGTTTTTCCTTTGTTTTTCCATGTTTCGCTTCTCATCCAAGAAGCTTGTTCCATTCTGACTGAATGGTGGAGAATGAAAGGATTTATATTCCTTGCAGTCATCTGGTCATTAGCACTCTTTCTGGGAGTTGTTCCCCGCCATTCTGACAGAAATGAAGAAGCTGCTTAGATGAAAAGAGAAACATCTTCAAAGAGAAACAAGAAAGTCCAGTTGCCTCTTCAAAAAGCACCTTTGAGACAAGCATGACTTGGATGACTGAGAACCTCCATAGCCCTTGACTTACAACCATTTTCTTTGTGACCATTCAAAGTTACAAAGTCACTGAAAAATGTAACTTACAACTGGTCCTCACACCTACAATCATCATCCACACATCAGGTGACATCCACTTAACAATCACTTTGCTCAGCAACAGAAATTCTGGTCTCAGATTGTGGTCATAAATTGAGAATTACCTGTATTCTCCTACATCAAACCAAACATTCATCTCTTAGTAATTTTATTTTTGCCAGCACCCTGAATTGATTACCTCCATGGCATAGTGTTGGCCATTGATTGTGTGCTCTGCGCCATTGGTATTTTGGGTGCCCCAATGCCAGTGGGCGCTGTGCAGCCAATACACTGCTGGTAAGCCAGGACCAGAGATGGTTGCTTTGGAATTAAAAGTTATCTGAACTGCAACAGAATGAAAACAAAATTAAGAGCAAATGTCTTGATGGGTCTTTGACTAACAAGCAAACAGGCATTATTCCAACAGATGTTGATTCCTAAATCCACAATCCCAGAAGATTCCACTCTTAAAACTGTAAGGATGGTAGTAGATTTTAGGAGAAGCTCTCCTATTCTACCACCTTTTACAATATTGGACAACACAGTATCAACAGTAGAGATCTTCAGGTTTCTGGGTTCTATAATCTCCCAGGACTTAAAATAGACGCCTCACATTAGAACCACTATTAAAA